CTCAAAAAATAAATCAGTCATCATATCCCATAATATTTAAGGTCAGTTTGATATATATGAAATATGGCAGAGGGGGTCAGAATTATTGCAAACAGCTGTATTTATATATATAAAAATGTCTCATAATTTGTGCAAAAGGCTGTATTTAACAAACTATTATTATATGAATTCTATAGCATTCCAAAGCTTTTGAAAGTGATCTAATTAATCGGCTCCATTTTGTCTAGTCATCATGGTTAGGATTAACTTGGAGAAACATCGAACATTGACGGTTCGTGAGCAAAAAAAAAATCCTCACTAAAATAATTCATCTCTTATTTTCATGCTAAAATTATCATATTATTATAGTTCAGATATATTAGTATCACCATTATTGTATATCTCGAACTCGAAGTCCAACTCGAAGTCCAACTCGAAGTCCAACTCGATACCAAACTCGACGTTTCGCGATTCCCTTCACATGAGAGAGGGTGTAGTAGGGATATCTTTTGTTTTGTGTCCTACTACATAGGGAGAAGTACCTTTCATGTCAACGGGTCCTTATCGTATCTGGGTCTCAAGTTGCACTGATTCGATCAAAAGCCTCGTGTCTTGCTAGTTGTTTTGCCTTGCTCCTTATTTTCAGACTATGTAGCGTTTATTTTCCAACGGTTTTTTGAAAATTATTAGATTTTTTTATTTTTCTTGATCGATGACGATATGATAGTACGGACAAATTTGATATCTCGTTGCTCGAGCATTCAATACTTGGTTTGCACGTTACGTCATAGTCGTCATAGGTTCAAAATATATTGGACTAAGATATATTTCTCATCCAATTAATTTTATTATAAAATCAGTGTGGTTTACAAAAATCGAAATAATCTGATGCACAAGATGTTTTAGAGCAAGAGTTGTCGCTGGTGTTATGTCACACCACCCAATACGTTCACGTATAATCTCTGAACTAAACCCACGGTAGGGGGCGGTAGTTGCGTTACACTTGGACCGTCTTATCCACTACTTTCGCTTTTTTATCTCTAGTGTTTGCATCGAAACTGACGGTAGTTACAGTATGTAGAAACGAATGGCACACTTTTTTTCAAAAGCGAATGCTGCAGTGTAAAACATGTTTAAAAAAAATCTTAAGTGCAGTTGACAAGGGATTATCGTGAAATAACACATGCCTGCACCATGGCGAAAAGATTAGTCATAAGACCAAGACACAACTCAAAGACACTCAGTAGGCTTCGATCCCGGGCTTCGATCGGTACTGCTGAAGATTTACTGATTTTGTGACGCTATAATTTCCAATTTCAATGTATGTTGAATTTTGAACAGAAGTATTGTTGACAGAAGTAAGCTACTCTTGTGGTTTGATAAACTTTTCATACCGAAATTTCCCGTGACACGTACTTCGCCAAGCGTTTATCAATAGCTGTTGTTGGATGACATTTTTTAGCAAATCAATAATCAGAAACAGATCTCAAAACTGTGCCTCAAAACCCTTTTTTATTTAACACTTACTTGTAAATTGTAATTTAAACATCCTAATAATCGAATTCACAAGGCAACGCCTATAAAGTTTGTTGTGTCCGTGGACATCCATCCATCAATCCATACAGTGTTTTGTACTCGATCTCCCGGAATATAAAATGAACTTCGTATAAGAGAAAAATCATGCCTTGCAAGAGTTTGCATTAAATATAAAACAAAGAAACTGAAATATCACGTTCTCGAAAAAATTGAAGCAAGTATCAAAAACATTCTTACTTACAGATTTATCTTTTTGATTGACATTCGGTATTTTTGTTGGAGAAGGTACAAACAATTGCAAGATTGCCAACTGGAAAACTTCACAAATTGTTCACATTATCGTACGATCAAAAAACAATGGCTGAGCCAGTGAAACTGTTTTATTTAAGCTTGTGTTCTCAACAACCTTATTATCTAATAACAAACTGGGTAAAAGATAAAAAATATGCCCTGCCATGCCGGGCTTGATATGTTAAGTTCCCGCCAAAACTCTAGGTCAAAAACAATGGATTTACCCTCTGCCTGTGAAATTCAAACAGTTTTTAGCTGTGTTGACATTGAGATTTCAAGTCACTTTGGCTAGTTTGATAGCGTTTGTTCAAAGGTGTTCGGTGTTTTCACTTCGACATTTTAAGCTAGTGTAGCTGGGAAACACCGGAAATACAGTGAAAACAGCCTTCGAAAAATAAAGCTAGCTTTAAAAGTAAAGTGTTTTCACTAGTAAAATCTCGCTAAAACCAGGATTTAATGCCGGAAATCGCGTCCATTTTAAACGACCTGGCGAGGTAGTTTTATCTGGCCAAGTAAACAAATCGGCCAATCACAGCGTTCTTCTTGACAGATATCTGCCATGTTATCTATCCCTATGAACGCGGTTTTGAAACTTTCAAATAAGGCGCCAGACGGCGTAGTAGCTAACGTTGTTTTTATTCAAATGAATTTAGTTTAGTAGCACGATTTATTGCCTCTTATTATGTAACATATGAAATTGAATCACAAAATAGAAAGTATTTTAGTAGAATAGTATTGGTAGACCTCGAGTGTAAACATTTCTAGTGAAATATAATAAACATTTYTGTTTCGTACAGTTTCGTTTTATCATTTGCACTTATATGACCACTGAGAACAACCAAGTTGGAATATTGCAAATAAATGTAAAAACCGTACCTCAATATAAGAATCAGAAGACGACCCCTGGTACTGATGGTACCCTTCCTCAAGGTCGTAGTCGCAACAAATGCCACCGCGACTGAAATTCAATGGAATTAAAAAAGTTATTCATCTAGATTAAAACATTAAAATAGAAAAAGGTTTTTACGACTTCTAAAGGGAAAAGTGTACCCTKCGCTTCACCCGACTTTTACTGTAACAAATACCAACATCGCAAAGGAAGTGTGGGGTGTTTCAAGACTTGGTCGCGCGCTTCAAGTTTTCGATAATAATAAAATCATTTCAGATTGAAATTCTAGCGAATCTAATAAGCTATTAGAAAGTCCACTTTTTAAACTAAAGAATGGAGGACAGCTTTTACTGACCTTGCAAGTAACGCACGACTTAATAAGTCCGCACCGATCTACAAACAGAATAAATCTAACATTAAAGTRAGAAAATATATCTGCGCATCAAGATGTAAATTCAACTAAATATCAATACAGTATTTGCTACGTATTACTTACCTATTCCTCGAAGTCAGAAATTAAGGTGACAAAACAACTTCTTTMCTTGTATCAACAGCTTCACTAGCTTTACTAAAAAAGTGCGCTCTTTCGGCCTTCCGCAGAACAAAAGCAGTATGGGATTACACGTTTTCACACATTTTGCAWTGTAACCGAGTTTTACGTTACATCCGGTTAACTTGTAATGCGTAACGCACACTTGGATGGGATGGACAGCCAAGTTATATGACTGATCAGCCAGMAGCTAGGGAGGGGAGGGTCCCATACAATAGCCAGCCAGGGAATAAATGACTGATTAGCCAGCAAATATCATGAGATTCGTTTGCCAGCCAGCAGAAGTTTATTTAACGCCTTTTAGCCAGCCARTGCAGYCATGTGCTGTGAATTCCCAGCCAGCATACGAACCAGTTGATTTTTGCCAGCCAGGACAGCAAGCCCCTGTGGAGCGGATATTTGTGGAACG